GACTGCTTTGAGTGTTCACTGTGCAGTGTCTCTGATTTAGACTTAGGTGTCGAAATTACGAGGAAGTTCTCTATAAGTATGCTGAAGATGTCTTTTTTAGGTTTAGTGAACTTATGTGGGTTAGGGTTTTGGTACTCCTCTTTTATTATGCCGTTCAGTTATAGTGGAGTTCATCTGGAAGTGCGGTTCCAGATCTAGATGCATTTGATGAGTTTTCGTCACGCAGAGAGCCTGGATTGGGAATCCCTTTTAGTTGTTATTGTGGGAACAATTTAATCATCGAATCGGCCGTTTCTGAGATGGAAAGGGGCCGGAGGTTTTTTTGTTGCAAAAAAAACGAGGTAAGTAAATGAGTCTTTTCTATTTTAGTTTTTTTTTAAATGGTATTTGTAATTTGATTCGGATTTATAAGGGTGGAGGGTGTGGTTTTTACAAATGGTGGGATACGGCCATGATGGAAGAACTGAAGAAAGTGAAAGAGACGGTGGAGGAAGATGGTGATAGGCTTCGATTTGTTGCTTTTAGGGACTGTGGAATGCCCGTGGATGTCCCGGAAATGTGGCGGAGCGTAGAGAGTTCGGCTGAAGAAATTGAGCGTTTAAAGAAAGAGTTGGAGGCAACCGTTGTTTGTATGGGTAAAATGGAGCTTGAGCTTGGGCAAAAAATAATTTTCGGGAAGGTTCTGTTTGTAAACGTATGTATTGCTGTGCTGATGATAGCGAAAGTGTTGGTTATGACGATGAACCATTGATGTCATTGTGGATGTATCGTTTTAGTCAGACCTGCTTTTTGGTGTCTTACTTTGTATTTGCTGTCTTACTTTGTAGTCCTTTTAATTGCTGTATTATTGACATTTGAGTAAGTTTTTAATGATGCGTTCAAAGAATTGTTGTTCGAACAATTATATTGTTCGTGAATCGAGCATAATGTATAGTGCACTGAGAACTAATTGATAAACAGATGTGAAACACATACAGCATAGACAGTAAGGTAATTGATAAACAGAGCACACGTACAAAATGTTGAGATCGTGTGACCACGTAACCCAGAACAAGGTGGTCCGTTTAAAACAGAAGGGATTAATACTTGAGAAGAAGAACGGCTAGAACAACGATACAGCAGGAGGTGGTAGAGTAAGCGTAAATCCTTAGTTGTTGTTTTGTAGCTTGGGTTTCGTTCTTCAATGTCTGAATAGTTGCGAGGATAGTTTGTACCTGACTCTTTAAGTTCGCCTCCGCCGATCTGAGGATGGTAATTTCGTTTTGTAATTCAATGTTACTTTCGGTTAAGATATCGAGCTCCTCTGATTTAGCTTCGTCGACCCACTTGAAGACATGGCCATAATCTCCCTATATTAGAAAAGTTATGGGGCTCAACTTGACATGGCCATAATCTCCCTATATAGGAGTTGTTCTAAAATTCTTACCTTTTTCGCGGCAATACACCTGTAGAATTCCCTGCCTGGGTTTTGAACAGTTGTTGACTTGAGTATCGCTGTTTTCTGGCCACACGAACAGCACCTGGGAATCCCGCGGGAGTAGGTAGGTGTGAAAGCTGTGGATTGGAAACTCATATTTGATAGTAAACCCTAATTTGGTCGGTGATATCGTTGGTAAGTATGGAGAACAGGAGTATATATATGGCCGAGATGTTCCGTCGTATATTTCCTTCGCATTTCTTGTTCACAATTTAGTGGGAAAAGTGACCACGGAATGGGGTCTACCTCACAACAAAAATTTGGTCCACGAAAAGGTGTCCACTAATTATCCGATATATAGTGGTATTGTAGTTGGACGAGTAGGTAGCGAATGAACATGGACATGTCGTTGTCCAAATTTGATTTCTGCATATGATAACATGGACTTGGGTAGGTACACATTGATGGTTGTATATTTGAAATTGAATTTGGCAGGTCAGATGGTCTAAAGCATGATACAGAAAGAAGACTGTCCACATCATGTTAGCCATTGTAGAGTAGTCCACCAAGAGTAGTCCAAGGAAGGCAGCGACAACCGTTTAAGTTGCGTGAAGCAGGTATTATGTCCACAAGTGGTTGGCCAAACGGAGGGTTAGAAGGTGATTAGTGTCCACTGCATGTTGAGTAAACACTGTCCATGAAATGGTGACCTCAAGGTTTTGTTATGAGCTAACAGGTATCCACGGATTTCGCTACAAAAGTAAAGGTACATATGACTATTTTTAGGGGTTTAAGGTTGTAAGGTGTTGAAGATAGTATTGCGGTACATCGTTTTTTGTTGTAAACTATATGGCACATAATATTATGAAAGTGTATGTGGAAGCCTTAATGACATCGTGGAATTACGACATCGTGGAATAGTTGACATGTCCACATAGTAGCGTCCCCGATAGCATGACATTGTGGTGTATTTGATATATCCAAAACTAGCGTCCACAGTTCCAAATTTGTAATATACTAGCCAAAAAGGCAGTGTTGGAATGGAAGCCTTAATGACATCGTGGAATAGTTGATATGTCCACAAACTAGCGTCCACAATGCTGTCCAGAATTGGAAGTCCACAGTTTGCTTAGAAGGAGATTAGGATGCCTATTGTGGAGAAGTTGTTGGCGACTACCTGTTGAGTAAACCATAGTCCACCACATCTGGTCCAAAATTTGATGGTTACGATGTAAAATCGGCGGTGGTCCGGTTAAATTTTATCCACGACGTCCACAATTCTGTCCACAATCGGAAGTCCACGGTTAGGATATAAGGAGATTAGGGGTGCCTATTGTGGAGAAGTTGTTGGCGACTACCTGTTGAGTAAACCATAGTCCACCACATCTGGTCCACAATTTATTGGTTACGATGTATAATCAGTGGTGGTCCATATAAATTTATCCACGGTGTGTTGTCCAAAAGGAAGGTACGTGTGAGTGAAAGTGTGTTCCGGTACATAGCTTTGGGGTACACTATATGGTACTTAATATAGATTTCAAGGACCATTGTAACCTGTTGGTTACATAGCTTTGGGGTACAACTTGAGTAAACCACAGTAAGCCACAGTCCACCGCATCTTGTCCACAACTGGCGTGTTCTGTTTAAATTTATCCACGGTGTGTTGTCCAAAAGGATTACACGGGTGAGTGTAAGTGTGTGCCATATCTCCACAAACTGTTTCATGTGCGTGTAGGAGGTTGTATGTCCAGGACTAGGTGTCCAAGGTTAGTAGGGTAGAAGGTGATTAGGGTGCCTATTGTGGTGAAGTTGATGACCACATCAGGATGAGGAAGCAGCAATCCACGAAATTTGGTACCACTGTAAAAGCGTTGGTGATCAGTTAAGATTTAGCAACAGCGTGTTGTCCAAAAGTAAAGGTACGTATGAGTGTAAGGGTTTGAAGATAGTATTCCGGAACATAGCTTTGGTTGTACACAATATGGTATATAATATAGAGTTCAAGGACACAATAACATATAAGTAGGATTGAACATTGTAAGTGTTAGTTATTGTTCCTGCTGAAAAGATAATAGATATGGTACATAAATGCAGCAGGAACACCCGTAACAGGGATATAGTGCAGAAAAAAAGTCCCAAGCAGTCGGTTCTAGGAAAAGGACTTAGTAGGCGGAGGTAGGTAGAACGACAAAAGAGAGTCTGATACTTAGTTTTGAGGGAAATGCAAAGGGGCAACTAGAGCTTGGTAAATATCCATGGCGTACTGTTTCCTAAAGTTGTCGACCATTGCATCAGTGAGGCCAGACATACACGGTTGCGGGTCTCCGTAAGCATGCAGTTCCATGAACTTGACAGCGACAGGTCCGCAATCACCCCCACATAAGTTGACGTACAGATCTTTGGGTCGCGACCAATTGAAGGGCGTAGGTTGAAGGAAATCGATGGTGTCAGTGCGCCTGCAAAGTTTTTTTATGAGTAGGAGGAGAAGCTCGAGCACCGGTTGTAGTAGCTTGGCCACTTGTGTGTCTTTTTTGAGGATGGGGTTACTGTCAAGAACAAAAACAGACCAAAGTTTGAGCCCGATAACTAGTCCTACCCAGTGGCCGTTGTCCCAGTTCATAGGTGCGTAAACAGTGTCAACGTCTTGGAACCATGTCTTCCCGGGTGCGACTACAAAATCCCTTATCCTTGATTCCCAATGTATTAAGTCTTTGTTCTTGGCCTTCATAACGCTTCTGTGCTTTCCCTGGAGATGGTTTATGAGCCACGGCGATGCAAAGCATAGACGCTGACTTTGTAAAACTTGGTGATGGTGGGAAGTTAGGAAGTCCATTAGCACTTCCATATGCTAGACGTAAAGAGATAGGAGAACGGTGAGTGTGGGAAAAAAGGAGAAGGGTTAATGTTTGGTAAGAAGATAGGACTACATTACCATTGTGCTTATCCAGCCGGAACTCTTCCCCAGGTCTAGCAAGAATTGGTTGTCGAAGTCGCATTTAGCTTTGGTGAAATGTAACCGGAATAATCTGATAATTATAAATTTATTATTAGTATAGAAAGGAATGTGCGTTTTCGATGTGAAACTTACACTTTCGGCGAAGAAGATAGTGTTTTGAAGAACAAAGACCATTCATCTCTTGGGACAACTGTGATAAGTTCAGCAGGGTGACGTGGTGGTTTGTTTGTGAAATAATGGGCTAGCTTGTCTTCCATTTCGGATGGGATGTGGGTTTTCCTTTTCGTTGGAGGCGAGGAGTCACTAACGTAAACGGGTGAGCCAATGACATCATCGTTTTGAGGATGATCCTATAAGAATGAATAAGAGTCAAAATAAATAGTTATAGATAGACTGACACATTTAGATTCTCCATTGGATTAACCTTGGCCTCATGGACGATGTCATTGTGTTGAGAAAGTAAGGCTTCACCGATAGTTTGGTCGTGTGAATGTTTTATAGGCGGCTGATTATTGAGTTCGGAGAGGACATTGTAAATCAATTGCTGATCCACGAGAGCAGCATCCTGTGAAGGAGATAATTATTCGAAGTGGAAGACAATCTACTAAGCTTATAGGAGAGAGTCGAATAAGCTTACTTGGAAATCGATATCAGTTTTGGGTAACGCTGAGACAAGGTCTGTCGCCGGTGATTTACACAGAGCTAGCTTCAGTTCCTGATTTAGAGAGGGTATATAAGAGACAGTTTCGATAGGTTAAGTGAAATGTTAATTTTTAAGAATCTGTCTATCCATTTCGTGTGGTACATCAGAATTGTGTTCGCCATGCATGGTTGTCTGATTCTCGATCACGTGACCGTGGCTCTGAGGTTCCTAAAAGAAACCGTAAATAAAACGATTTGTTCCTTTATGGTATTGTCTTAAAATTAGGACATAGTTGGATGGAAAATCTTACCTCATGGTCTAGGACTGCTGTTCCACAAAAAACATCTTCAGGTACAGTATCTCGCATTGGTGGTCCACAAATAAGAGCTTGAGGACCAGTCTGTGAATTGAATAATGAGAATGGTAGTAACGACCTAAATGATGAATATTTAGTGGAAGTAAGTATAGTTTTACCGTGCTATATAAGATCTGTGCGCCAAAAATTTCTGCACCATCAATCGAGCGGTCTTGTAAGTTGTTTGCGACATTGTCGACGTCCATGTGTACTTGTCCACCGTCTGGGGAGGCGACCATCTGGGCCTGGTTAGTGGAAGAGGCATGGTTATGGTTCGCAATAATACCATATAGAGATGCAGGAAAAAATTTTGCTGGCATTTGTAATACCTGCTCATGAATAAGTGGGTCCTTGAGGGGACTTTGTATTGGCAATGGTTGTTCACTTTGGAGCATACCATAACCAGTAGACTCGGGCAGGGCTTGGTTGGATGCGGGTAAGCGGGCGTCGTTGTTATTCTGGGAAAAAGTGTGTAAAAATCTGGGAAAAAGACTCGCTGAATTTATGAAAATATACTTTTGGAATTGAGATATGACATTACCGCTTGGTTGAATAGTTCTGTTTTGCTAGACGGGCGTTCATCATCATGGGTCTCAACCGCCATGGCCTGTATTATATATTAACGTAAAAGGTAGTGTACATTAAAAACCAACAAGTGAGGGAAGTTTTTGAACCTGGTCAGCAATAAGTGGCTCCTTGCAGAGTGGGATCTGTTCCGGATAACCGGTGCTGTGTTGGTCTTGCAGAGCGGGATCAGTTATGTTCGGCAAAAGACAATCTTGTGAGTCGCAGTCCATCTGGACCGGTACATCGGAAGAGGAGTCTGCTACTGGTTCCTTGGGGGTGGCTAATTCCGCGTCATTCTGGAATATGAGGCGAGGAGGGGATTCATAATGAGGCAAGATTTGCGTAAAAAAAAGGGAGGCATAATAGACAATAAGAGGACCTAACCTTTTGGGACAAATTCTGTTTGTCGGATGTTTTCGTCGACGTCAAGTCATCAGAATCGTGATGGAGACCCATGTCCTATATTTCCAAACAAATTTAGTAAGTGACAGCACCTGAAAACGAAAGGAAAAACGTGCAGACCTAATAATGATAGTACGAACCTCTAGCTCCCATAAATCAGGGCCATTCTTTGCCGGGGTGATGTCGTTTTTTTTCGGGGTCGTCCAATGAGGAAGATTGGATTCGTCGGAAAG